TTGATGGTCTCGTGTCCTTCAAGAAAGTCGTACTAACATTATCCCTTCGGAATACTAAAAGCAGTGGCCAGAACTTCTGAGCTGACCTCTCTGTTTTGAATGTAACAGCCCAGCATGTCGCTTCAGAAGCTATTACTTTGCATCTTTTTTTTCCTCCAGGGTTGTTGTTGTTTTTTTTAAGTTTTATTTGCACTTTATTCACATGTCATACAATTCAATAATTCAACCCTATCAATAAGAGTACAGTTGTCATCATTCAATTCTAGAACATTTTCTTCTTCCTTGTAGTCATAATTTGTGTAATCACAGTCGGTTCTAGTGAGCCTTCCCTCTCCTGCATTCATTGTTTGCTCCCAAGATCCCCTCACCCTCCCTGTCACCCACCCCTCCATCCCTGTAAAGCCTTGCATCCGTCATTATCTCTGTGCATCTGCTCCTTCTGTGCGTCACAAACTGGGGAACCCAACAGAAACAATACAAAAATGTCTATGGTTGTACCACCCTAAACAGCCCCTGTCTCATCAGAAACAAAAGAAAGCAAAATAAAGTGGTATGGATAAAATAATAGTAATATAAAAATACAAATACAGATAATGAATAAGAAGGAAAAAACCACCTTCAATATTTAAAAAGTCAGGGAAGAAATTTTTGTCATAGAACAAGCAAGAAATACTTGTATCCAGAACAAATTCACGTTGCGTCAAGAAGGTCAACTGATCAAGTATCAGGTTTGATCCAGTATAATCGCGATTACAATGATCTCTATCTGGCAGTAAAAGCTGCCTCTAGCTGCCTGTGACTAGTGGGGCTCTGTCAGAGGCCTAATCTGACTAGATGCTCTGCAGATGGGTTTGGGCGCCCACTGCCCTCCATATCCTTCTACAAATTGGGATTCACAATTTAAGCCCTGATACTCTTCCCTTCATCATATTTAGATTTTGTTAATTGTCATCTTTGGATCCTTGCACAAACTGTTGTTCTTCTTCCAAGTGGACTTAGTTGATTCCTCACTTAGATGGTTGCTTATTTGAATACAAGCCTTTAAAACCCCAGACACTCTTCCAGTTGATTGCCGGGCACCCTCTGCTTCTTCATCACCTTTTGCTGTAGCTCCCTTATCTGCAGTGATCATTTCATGCTGGTGAGTATCAAGCAGGATCGTGTTATTAGAACTAACTGTTCTTGGATTGGGGTTAGAGTTAAGTGGGATCCCAGATTCCATCTGCTTATCACCAGGATATGCATGACTCGGGTTTGCTGTGGTGGTGGTCTTATGACAAAATCAAAACCCCGTAAGCCAACTACACCACCAACAGCAACAAACCAGTAAATAAAAACAAACAGTAGGAAAACAAAGACCCATACAAACAGATAAACAGAAAAGTAAAATATTGCCAGTCATCCCTCTGGGTTTTTCCACTGATAACATCAATTTTTCTAATGACGCAGCACTCCAGACACTATTGGTATCAGAAGTCGGTGCAAGTACATTTTCACCATGAGCCACAACCCATGAGTTGCTGCCCAACACAGTTCAATCAGAAATTTCCTGGATCGGTTCTTGCAAGTGATGGCACCATTTTTTAAAGGTGTACTAAGGAGGCTGAGACAAGTTATATTACTAAGAGAACCTGCATGCAGCCCTCCACTTATTTTACAGAGACGTGTAAACATGTTTTGAGGAAACCTGTGAATGGATGGCTCATAACAGCCCTTTGTACAACAGAGCAAAACACTGCCCAGTGCTGTGCCATCCCCACAACAGTTACTATGTTTGAGCTCATTGCTGTAGCCCCGGTGTCAGTCCATCTCATCGAGGGTCTTCGCGGCTTTCCTGGACCCTCTACTTTGCTCAGCATACTGCCCTTTCTAGAGACTGGACCCTCTGGTAATGGGGTCTTTCTTCTAAGGACTAGTCTGGCTATACTTCTTTCAGGACAGATTTGTTGACTTTTTTGGAGTCCATGGTATATTTGTTTTTTTGTGGGGTCCCCCCCCAACATTTTTGTTGGCACATAATTTACATATCATATAATTGAGTCGTTCAGGCATGTCAAGGGGAATTGTACAATCACCACCACATCTAAGCGCATTCTCACCACCACCACCACCACCATGGTTAAATTGCCTTCAGTATGAGTTGTGCAATCACGGTCAGTCCTATTGCTCCTCCTCCCTCCTGCCCTCATTATCCATTCCTGAAATCCCCTTTCCCAGCCAATCACCCAACCCACCCCTGCTTTCCCTATAACCCATTGGATCATTTTTATCATAATCCATTCCTCCTGTGCTTCGTAGGTGGGAAACTGAACAGAAAAAAAAATCACACTAAGGTGGTAAGGATCAGATCTTATTAGTGTAAAGACAAAAATAGAAAAATGTGTTGTTAGAGGGAGAAGACCCCCATCAGCATTCAAAGAGCCAGGGAAGAAATTTCTGTCATGAAACAACTAAGAGATACTTGCTCCCAGAACAATTTCAGATCGTGTCTTTAAGGTCAACTGGCCAAGTACTGTGTTAGATTCAGCATAATCAGGATTACAATGGTCTCTGGCAGCTAGTAGGGCTGTTTGGGACTCCGCCTGGCTGGAGCGTATGGGTCTGCTAGATCCTCTGCTGAATGGTTTGGGCGTTCATAATTCTAGCCCTGATACTTTTCTCTTCACCATATTCGAATTTTGTAATTGTCATCTTTGGATCACACAACCTGGTGTGCTGCTTCCGCATGGACTTAGTCGACTCCTCACTTAGATAGCTGTTTGTTTAAATACAAGCCTTTAAGATCCCACACACTACTCAGATTGATAGCTGGACACCATCTGCTTTCTTCACCACACTGCTATAGCACCCTTAGCTTCAGTGATACGTTCATGAAAGTATTGAACAGGACCATGATGTAAGAACTAATTGTTCTTAAGTTGGGGCTAGGATTTAGTGCAAGTCCAGGAGAAGTCATTCCTGGGTCTGTTTCGTGGCATATTTAATACTATTTGCTAGTACCATAATTCAAATACATCAGTTTTTAGTCTCCTTTGTTCTTGTCAGCTTGCACAACATGCTTATACAACATGTGTATAAGCAATTGAAAGTGCCGTCACGTGGGTAGGTGCACCTTAACCTTAGTCTTCATCTTTGTTTCTTAACACTTTAAAGAGCTGTTTTGCTGCAGAATTGCCCTATTGCAATATGTCATTTGATTTTTTGACTGCTACTTTTGTACATTAATTATGGGTCCAAGTAAAATGAAATCTTCATTCTATAAGGTCTTCATCCTGTTCTTCGCTGTTGGAAATTTTAATTTTAACCAGCCATGATTTATATTGGTATTGTGCCCACTTCCTTTGGTTCTCTGCTTAGAAGAGATGATATTTCAGGTCTTTGAAATGAGTCCTTATAAATTAGTAACTTCATTATTTAAATGGCTATATTAAATACAACAAATAAGAATCTTTGAATTGTTGAAACATCATTGTATTACCAAACTGAGGAAGCAGTTGTAAGAAACGTTTCCATTTGTACCAGCAGCAGAAAGGGAGTGCAAACGTGCGCCAGCTGTAATAAATCTAAATTTAATAGACAAATACACAGAAAATTCCTAGAAAGATGAATCATGGGAGTGAAATTTAAAGCTTCATCTTTTCAGAAGTGAAGACGGGAAATAGTGGGAGTCAACCTTGCCCTGGAGAGATGGAAGCACGGCCAGAGCACTGGTTCTTTACCATCGTCCATCGCGTATTTTGAAAAGTGGAGGCTTGTGTGAGATTCAGACCCACCCCTCTCACCCTGGGCACCTTTAGGCCTGGCAGCCTAACTTCTGAAAACTTAGCCAGGGGAAAACCTATGGAGCGCACTTCTACTCTGACACACGCATTCTCCATGAATGAGAGTCCACTCAAAGGCAGCTGTTAGCATAATTGGCTCTTATGAGATGCATTAAGAAATTAAAAATTACTTCTATGCTTTTCTGTGTTAATTTTCACACTGGAAAGGCAACTCATTTGAAAAAGTTAAGTTTTTGCTATGTGCAAGATTTTTTTACATCATTAAGTTATTGTGGGATCTGTTTTCTTCCTCCCTTTGTTTTCATTTCCTTTTTATCATAAAACTAACTATTTTTAAGCTTCAAAATCTTGGTTTAAAAGATACTGGGAGTTCTTTGTGTTTTAGTGTAACCATAACTACACTAGCCACTAACTAATTAACCACAAAGCCCCCCTGCTGGTTGTCATGCATGTGCCTAGGGTGTGGTCCAAAGGCAGGAGTTCAGTGGTAGAACACTCTTCATGTTGGTCGGCCGGCTGAGGCAGCTCGGCTGCTTGTCCCACAGCATGACTTGGTGCTATTGAGTGAGTGTAACCAGAGTGTACTTCTGAAACATTCTTTCCTCATCTGAAAGAGTTAAACTACCCCAGGGGCCCCAGGCCTACTATTATATTAGCACTAGTGCTGGGGCGAATGGGAAGCGAAGCCTTTGTTTTGTACAATCCTAGAACGTTTACCACTTAACTGCTTACGGGTGTGAGCATACATATATGCATGCACATGCGTGAGCCCCTGTCTGTTAAATTTGTATTCTCTGTGTCATCATTGCTTTCAGGTATATTTATAATTGTTTTGTTAACCACCTAAAATGTGAGCTGTTTCTTAGGTTCTAAATTACTAGAAATTCTGCCTCCTGCTTTAGGAAGACACATGATCATATATGTTGATATTGTGTGATACTCATTACTGATTGCCTTTTAAAGGAAAATAGTTTTTGCATACTTTGTTGATCTCGATTCATAATCCATTGCCATCCATCTACTGTAGTTAGCCATGTATAAATATACTTTGTCTCGTGTAATTTTAGTCTACCTGACTTTTTACTGCTCTCTTTAGTTGCAGTTAGCAATGTAAGAAAGACAGGAACATCCATGATTTTCTTATTACCTTGTGATAGAATTGAATTGGAACGTGGCACTCTTATTGCTTGGAAACTGATTTCTGCTGCTATTTCTTAGGGACACAGCCGGTCAAGAAAGATTCAACAGCATTACCTCAGCTTATTACAGAAGTGCCAAGGGGATCATATTAGTATATGACATCACCAAGAAGGAGACATTTGATGATTTGCCTAAATGGATGAAAATGATTGATAAGGTATATTCTGCATTTTCTCTCAGATAATGAATGTTTTGTCTTATGGGTACTAATCAAATTTTTTTTTTAAAGCAAGGAGAAACACATTTATCAAGTGTGCTTTTACACACTAACCATCATTTAGTCGTTACGACCTTCAGAGTGGTGTGTATTCTGTGTTGCAGACAAGGCAGGGAATTAGGTTTATCCAGAACCACGCAGTTTATGTATAACAGAAGCTGTATTTTGGTGTCTGGCTTTAAAGCCTCAACATCCTCTTTCAGTTATATTCACCGCTTCCATGGAATCAGGTTGTGGGCACTCCTGTTTCTCACTTGTGAGGACCCTTGGAGTACATACTTCTAGGAATCATCTGTCCGACAGTGTCTGTAGACAAGCTCTCACCCCTGGACAATGACCAGTGCCCTTTAGTTCACAGTTTAAGCAAATGAAGATGTTGCTCTTTGACTCGCGATTGACTGCATTCCGGTAGCCTCGGTCTATTTGAGTGGGTCTATCTATTGTGGGTTCCTCTCCAAAGACAATACACAAAATACTCATTAAAGAGGCAGAGTAGTTGGGGATGAGAGATCATGCTACACAGGTGACCACAATGGGACAGTTTCCTTTCCCTTGGGAAATAATTTAATGTTGGTTCCATTGGATAACAATCACAGCCAAAATGTTAGAGAGAGGATTTTGTTTACAAATCTTTAGACTGTCTGCTAAAGAATGTTGGAGAGGGTGTTTCTGGTTGCCAAAGCCCTGCTCTCCCAGCTACCTCTGCACTGCATGTCCTGTGGGAGGCCGTCTCCGGCATTGTGCTCCCCTCAGGGGGAGCCACAAAGGGTGCTCCTAAGGGAGTTAGAGGCAGCCATCTCATTGTAGTCTCCAACTTTCCAGAATCTATGGGATGAATTTAAAACCAAAGGAAGTGGCCTACATTTTAAAGGACCCACTAGGCGCTTCCGTTTCTTTTGTTTGTCTTTTATTAGCAAGCTTTCCCATTGGCCAGTGTTTTGATTATTGGATGCTGTAAGATCTTGAGTTCTAATACGCTCTTTAATTCTTTGGCACTTATTCTTAAATAAGTTCTGCACATCATTTCGGGGGTGCTTACTCTGCCAAGCACTGTTTAGTCTTCACAGCAGTCCCAACAGGTAGCCATGCTTCACGGAGAGACTCCTCACTTGGTGAAGTAACTTAGCCAAGGTCATACATACTGTTCAGGTTTGTCTTAAAAACCTTTTTGTTATTTGTTTCATTTTTTAATTTAAGTTTTGAAATTCTTCATTTTATTTGCCTGGTTGTTTTCAATTCATGACTATACCAGGTGCACACCATTGCCTAAATTTCGAATCACCTTTTTTGTATGTTAGATATTTAGAAATTGAGTCTAAGGCTAAGAACATGTTTGTTCTTAATGCTTTTACTGAATAGCTTTTTAAAATGTGAAAAGCCCTGTGAAAATTGTGTGATGCCCCTTCGTCTGTTGGCTGGGAGACAGACTGGGAGAAATGCTAGATTGGTTTACCTGGTTAGTAGGTGGCTGTGCCCATCTTGTTAACAGCCTCTGTTAACATTCCACAGTATGCTTCAGAAGATGCAGAACTTCTCTTAGTGGGAAATAAGTTGGACTGTGAAACTGACAGAGAAATTACCAGACAACAAGGTGAAAAGGTAAGAGAAGGGAAGCCTAAGAATGCCAGTGTTCTACTTTGGTTTGCAAACACTTCTAACATAAAAAAGTCCAAAGGATAACCTAACATATTTTATATCGGTAGTAAAATGATATTTTATATCGGTAGTAAAATGATATTTTAATGATAAATATATTTTAAACTTTTTTAAATCTCTACTAAGTAGAGCCAACACTGGTAGCTTTTAAGGAAAAAATACAGTACGGCTGTTCAGTCATGCCCTTATTTATTTACATTCATTTTTAAATGCATGAAAAAATGTTAATATATACTACCTTGTAATTATCTAACTTCTTATTTTATATAGAGAAAATACTTTTCTGAACTGTAAAATTGGTTCCGTCCTTTTCTTTTACTCTGTGTGTTTTAAGAGGCCCTGTTGGTGGTGCTATAGGCGTTGGTAGGTGCTAACCACAAGGTCAGTGGTTCAAATCCACCAACTGCTCTTTGAGAGGAAGTGAGGCTGTCTGCTCCCTTAAAGATTTACAGTCTTAGGGTCAGTATGAGCCGGAATGAACTCAGTGTCAGTGAGTTTGGTTTGAGGTATAATTTGAGTTTTGGAAGTGTTTTAACCTTCTTTTGATTTTTGCTAAGGATTAAGTCTTGGAGAATCCCAGATTTTCAGTTTAAATGTTAAGCTCATTATAGTTCTAAAAACTTTGGTGTAAGCAACTTGCCCTGAGAAGCTGTGTGTGTGTGTGTGTGTGTGTGTGTGTGTGTGTGTGTGTGTGTGTGAGAGAGAGAGAGAGAGAGAGAGATCATATAAGAAGTTGCTGCACTTTGTCAAGTTTATGCTTGCACATGAGGGGACTCTGAAGATTGGCTGCTTCCCCCTCTTCACTTGGATTTCTCGCGGCACCGTTGCCTGGTGGGGCATAGACCGTGTTGCACCCCATCCATAGAATTTTTCCCCTTAGTTTGCACAGCAGATAACTGGGATGCGGTTCTGTGAAGCAAGTGCCAAGGATAATTTCAATGTGGATGAAATATTTCTGAAACTTGTTGATGACATTCTGAAAAAGGTGAGAGAAGTATGGCTACATAGTTAATGGGAAACTTGTTATTTATTTTGTTTATTATTTTTTCATTGAGACTATCTTCTTTAGAAAGGAAAGTACAGTCGTTACTTTGACACTCAGGAACGAAGGAAAGGTTCAGTGCATCCAGTTTGCTGCCATTGACACCTAGAACTTTTCAGCATCGCTTAATGTTGATGTTAATATCTGTGCTTAGCAGGGGAAACTGGATAACTTGAGCACAGTGGTTTTTTTAAAATCATTTTATTGGGGGCTCATACAACTTTTATCACAGTCCATACATACATTAATTGTATAAAGCACATTTGTACAATTGTTACCTACATCATTCTCAAAACATTTGCTCTCCACATAAGCCCCCAGCATCAGCTCCTCATTTCCCCCCCTCCCTTCCTGCCCCCCTCCCTCATGAACCCTTGATAATTTATAAATTATTATTTTGTTATATCTTACACTGTCTGACATCTCCCTTCACCCACTTTTCTGTTGTCCTTCCCCCAAGGAGGAGGTTATATGTAGATCCATGTAAACAGTTCCCCTTTCCACCCCACCCTCCGCTATTGCCACTCTCATCACTGGTCCTGAAGGGATAATCCTTCCTGGATTCCCTGTGTTTCCAGTTCCTATCTGTACCAGTGTACATCCTCTGGTCTAGTCAGATTTGTAAGGTAGAAATGGGATTATGATAGTGGGGTGGTGGGGGGAAGCATTTAGGAACTAGAGGGAAGTAGTATGTTTCATAATTGCTACACTGCACCCTGATGAGCTTGTCTCCTCACTGTGACCCTTCTATAAGGGGATGTCCAGTTGCCTACAGATGGGCGTTGGGTTCCCACTCCACACTCCCCCTCATTCACAATGATATGATTTTTTGTTCTTTGATGCCTGTGCTTCATCCCTTCGACACCTTGTGATTACACAGGCTGGTATGCTTCTTCTATGTGGGCTTTGTTGCTTCTGAGCTAGATGGCCGCTTGTTTACCTACAAGCCTTTTAAGACCCCAGACGCTATATCTTTTGATAGCCAGGCACCATCAGCTTCACCACATCTTACATACCCATTTGTCTTCAGCTATTTTGTCGGGAAGGTGAGCATCACCTTCATCACCTGTCAGTTTAAGAGAACAAAGTATTCTTTCATTGAGGGAGTACTTGAGTGGAGGCCCAATGTCCATCTGCTACCTTAATACTAAACCTATAAATATATGCACATAAATCTATTTCCCCATCCTCATATATAAATATATCTACATATGTACATACCTTTATTTAGACCTCTTTAAATAGCACAGTGTTATAACATGCCATGTTCCTTGGACATTGCTTTTTTCTCTTCCTGTTTCCCATGAAAATTAATCTAAATTCATGGATGATAGCAAAGTCTACAACTGTCTAAGTCCCAGATACTGCCCCTCGCTTCTGGTGCCTGCCCCCCAGTGAGTGTCTAGTGCCTGTTCCTATGCCTCTGTGTGTTTCTGATTTGTAAGCAGCTTCAGTGAGCAACAGTAGCTTTTCAGGCATCTTTAGACATGGTTTGGACACAAACAAATTTTTAGTAGGAAATTTATGTATACTACTATTTAGTAGGAAATTGATATATACTAATCAGTATAATCTGCTCAGTTCAAATAAAATTCTGAAGCTTTTACTAAAATAGTTCATCTAATTATCAAGGGAACTTATTTCTTTCTTTAGTAAAGATAAAATTAACCTGAGAATGTACTTTTTAAATTATTATTACTAATATATTACATTTTCATTATACTGGGTTCTGTGAAAATAAATATCTGAAACATCAAATATTTTTAGCTCAGCTATTCTTTTTTAATAGTTTTATTGGCATATACTTCACATATCATATAACTTAGTAGTTTAATCATATAAGGATTGTGCAATCATAACCACAATCAAATTTAGAAAGTCCGCTACTTAAAGGATATTAAATAGTAAACTATATTGATCCAACAAACTTTCTTCTTTCTTTGTCCTTAAGATGCCTCTGGATATTTTAAGGAACGAGCTGTCCAACAGTATCCTCTCATTACAACCAGAACCTGAGATTCCACCAGAACTGCCTCCCCCAAGACCACACATCCGATGCTGTTGATGCCCCACTTAGGAGATGCATTCAAACAATTCCTGGGGCAGGGAAAGTGTTCTATTCTGCACTGCAATCATTCTGACAATTTCTTTCGCACTTTGTAATCCGATTCAGAGCTATACACTAACTTGTAAATATGCAAATAAACAATCCTGGTAAGGTTTGGCTATAATTACATAGTTCCCTCCAAATTACCCATTTCCATTCATTACCCCGGTGTCTAATGTACAGACACTGGGAAACATAGTACTTCTAATCTGAAGAATGGGAAAAATGAGAGGTATGTTTCTTGAAATAAATATAATTGTTCTTGTTAGTTATCTATATGAAGACAGAAGATATTCTGATAAGAGAGAAGGCGGTGCTTTGCTTACTGGTTTAAAGAAAATTTGGAAAACTAAGGACTTTCATGCGGAAAGCTATCTTAAGTTGCTTTTTCTTTATTTACAAGACATTTTTTTCCAAAGCTCTAGCATTTCTGAAGTATTGGGAGTGTTTCTGCGCAAAGCAAAACTGCATTATAGTCATCATTGATTATTTATTAGTGCTGTGTACGGTAGGTATTAGAGTTACAGACTCTGAGGCTGCACAGTCACCATCATAGTTCCCGATGATGTACCCGTACTTTTAAGAGCTACAAAGATTCAATAAACAAAGCATTTTTTTTTCAATTGCAGAAGAAGATTTTAAAAACGCTGCTGTCCTAAACAAATCCTGTTTAAAGGAATTTTAAAGAGATACATTTTACTATATCAAAGAACATACATGTATTTGCTTAAACGTGTACCTTTGTAATGGTACATTTTTTCCCCCTTATGTTGGAGCTTATTCCTATTAAGCCTATACTGTGTCCTCCCTTCCTTTTTTTTTTTGTGGTGGTGGGGGGTCTGATAATGAATTTGTGAACTCTATCTTTGGTATATCTTTCAGACTTCACTGTTTTGTTTAGTCAAAGTAAACAGGTAATTATGTATTTGAATAACTTGGCGTGTCTTGAATGTTGTGGTATTGAAAAGCATTGTGGTCTTTCTATACTAATGAAGTGCAAATAAAATTTTGTATTTATGAATGACGAGTTGGCACCTTTATTGTTTGATTGTGAATTGTATAAATGATAATATTCTTCATAAAAGATGCATCTTTTGAGTGTTTCAGATAGGGAAAAATGTATATGTAACTTTTATAATCAACACTTGATCGTGGATTGTGCCAATCATTAGTCTGTACTATCTCCCTTCAGACCCACCCTTTTGTTCTCTGCTCAGTGGGCTGAGGTTGGGGATCTGCATTTGCTAAATTCTAGTTCTTTCTATTAAAATCTGTAGTGGGGGGAACTAAGGCAAAGAGAAGAGCCTTGCTTCGCATTTCCCCAGTCCTGTCAGTGGGTTCTAGCAACTAACTTCTGGCATCCCCACCTCCAGCCTCACTGCACCCAGTTACAGGCACCAGTGCATTTGACTATTTGCTGAGGCACTGCATCTGCTGCCTCATCTAAACCTTGACTGTGCTTGCCTCAGAAGTAAGCTAAACCCCATCTAGACTTGCTCCTTTGCCAGGGCACATCTGCCTCAGAAGTTCAACCTCAATCTTGCAGCCTGCCTTCCTCTGAGCTCACAATTGTGGCAACACCTCTCCCCCCAGTCCTAGTGGTAGTAATTGTTTCCTTCAGTTATTTATAATCACTCAATTACCTTAAATAAAATTTAAAAGCACAGTTGCCATCAAGGTAACCTCAATACATGATGACCGCATGCATGTCAATAGAACTATGCTCTCTGGAATTTTCAGTGACTGATTTGCCAGAACTTTTCCCAAGGGGCCTCTTTGTGGACCTCACTAACAGCTGAGCATATTAACCATTTGCATCCCTCAGGACCCCCCCCACCCAAACCCACCCCCTTTTTTTTAAAGATAAAATAGAATTTTATTTATTTTTTTAACATTTTTTTAGGGCCTCATACAACTGTTATCGCGATCCATATACACATCAATTGTGTAAAGCGCATTTGTACATCAT